TAAGTTTACATGGACTCCAGAAATCAAAGCTAAGATATATACAATATATATGCAGGATATATACAGGAGATATGAGGAGATCGCTCGAAAGAGAAGATTGCATTCGAGACACATCATTACAACTGAGGAATGATCATCCTAGCTTCTAACAAATCAATCTATTTAGATCTCGATCAAGTCCAATAAGAAAACCGTTTATCTCATCTTAGGATACCTCTAAGGATCCTCGTGTAGATCAGTTGGGCCAAGTCTATTGTAACTCTTTTGTGCTTTGGAGCTATCTAATTGATATCATAGCTACTAGGGCATTTGGTAGTTTGGTTTAACAACATCGATGAATTCATTGAGTTTGATCCAAGTAAAAGCTTTCATTTTCTTTTTGTTGTTTCATTCTATAATGATTTTAAAGAAAATCTAGCAAATTGAATGAATCAATCAATTTGCTAAAGGGGAAAAAAGTATTTGGAAAGATAAATTAATCTTAAAAAAGAAAATTTATTCGAAGAGTGAGAAACTTTCTTCATCTCACATTGTTACGGTTTTCTTTTTCTACAAGTTCACTCTTTTTATTATTAAAAAAATTATAGTTGTCGAACAAATAATAATTTAAGATAAAAAAAATTTAATATTTGGTAACATTTCTTGTAAAAAATATCCTGAAAGTAAACTATGATACTATATTTAGTTATTATGTTATACAACTAGTAATAAATATGGGGGGAATAAAAAAATTGCATACAATCAAAAAATAATAATATTAGTTATTTAAATAGTATTATATTTTTAAAAATATTTTAATAAGTTAAATCATTTTAAAATATTTACTTTGGCTTATATTATTTAATATAAAAACTAATACTAAATTGTTATTTAATTTTTAAATAACAGATATAAATTTATTGATAATATATTGATATTATATTTTTATTTTAAAAAAATTAAACTCTTATTTAATAAGTTTATTTTATTTTTGTCTAAAAATACTTTGTTTTTTTAGCACTTATGTGTTTTAACAACATAAATAAAAACATAAAGTAGTCAAAACAAGCACAGAGCAATAACATTTATAAAAACTTTTTTTTTTTTAAATTTTAGTATGTAAAGATTTACAAAATATAAATTCAATTAACAAAATATCTTTTTTTTAAGGAAACTTTTTTTTAAAAAAAATAGGGCTTTGGTTGAGACAGAGAATATGAACCATTCTAAATTCGACTTATTATCGTTTTTATATTTTCACCATTGTATACACAATCTACTCATATCTCATTAAAAAAACTTACCTAAATAATCAAATCCTAGTTTTGGAATCTTAATTATTGTCTACATATATAGTATTTATGTTTAGATTTTTTCATAATGTTACATTAAAAACTTACCCATTTTGCTCATTGGGCATTAATGTTGCTACCATTTTTGGAAATTTTCATATTAGGAATTTTGGGAGAAACATTAGTAAATACATCCAACATAAACATAAATGTACATTCCAAAAAAAAATTAATGTACATTCTAAAAAAAATTAATTTAATATCTTTTCAAAACTATAAATAAGTACATAGAGCGTTGGATTGTTTAGGTATAAACAAACAAAACTTCTATTTTGTCTTCCAAGTATGAAGGGAAAGAAGGTGAAGCTCGCTCTCATTTCTAATGAGTCAACCAGAAAAATAACATTTCAGAAAAGGAAGAATGGATTAATGAAAAAGGCAAGTGAATTAGCAACATTATGTGGTATTAACATGTGTATGATTATTTACAGTCCTTACAACACTCAACTTGAAGTTTGGCCATCTCCTTCAGGAGTCCAAAGTATTCTCAATGATTTCAACGCAATGTCAAAGATAGATCAGAGTAAAAAGATGTTGAATCAAGAGGCATTCATTAGGCACTCTATGAAAAAAACAAAGGATCAACTCAACAAACAACGTAAGGACAATTGTGATAAGGAGATTATACAATTCATGTTCGACAGCTTGAATGGTAAGCCTTTGTCAAACCTAACAGCAAAAGATCTTAAAGATCTCGGTTGCAAGATTAAACATTTCTCAAAGGATATCGATAAAATGATTGATAGACTTACTATAGCTGATCAAAAATTTGAGAATGCACAAATAAAGACATCAGATATCAATCTAAATGATGGAGACAACCTTCAAAATTCATCAAAGAATGATCCATGGCTCATAGATTTTGGACTTGGAAAGATGATTATGCCTATGGAAGACAATGACAATGAGAACATCGAGAACAATAACAACAACAATGATAATGGAGCTGCTTGAGAAATTGTTCTAAGCGTTTATGTCTCTTTGCATATCATATGTCTCTTTATATATGTGTGTTTTACATGTAATGTTTATCAATAAATCGATTATGGTAATAAAATTCTCTTATTTTTGAAATTTCATTATGTTTAGCTGTTAAGTTTATCATGCGTGGAAATTAATTATTTTTGCCATTTGACAAAGAAAATAGTCATAAATAAATTTTTGTTTTATATATCAATGAAAATATTGGCAAAATGCATTTCAAACGGCCAATATAAATTTTAATTTTTTAAAGATATCATTTTTTAGATAGTTAAAGTGGTATAACTTGGAAAAAAATTATAATCATTCTAAGATATATATATTAATAAAAATGTACATCAATGTATTTACTAGTTAAGTGCTTGGGTTACAGCTTCGCTATTTATGACTTCCCTCTTTGTCTTCTCTTTCCCTGTCTCTCCCTTTGTTCCTACTCTTATAATATCAGCGACTTTGTGTCAGTACAAGGCAAGTAATCCGGAGAGATTGAGCAGCGACCAAGTCTTGTACCTTCTCTTCTGCATCTCTCTCCTTGAGTTTAGCCGTTTTACTCTCTCCTTTTTATCCTACTTGTGCTTTGATTCTCACGCATTAACCTCCTCAGATTCATCCTCCTCTTCTTCTTCTTCCGATGACGACGAAGACTATTCCCACTCTGATTGGTTGCCGATTTACTTTTTGTTCTTAGATTTATTTATTTTTTATTCGATTCGGATTCGGATTCGTCGATCCCCTCTTTCGATTTATGTAAATTTTAAAAACGCTGTAGTTATAAGTTTGTGCTGCGATTATCAATTCGAAAAAAGGTTCATCGATCCTTCGAATTTGTTTCTGGTTTTTACTTTCTTTGATTTGGTTAATTATGTGTTTGTCTTCGTGCTTGGTTCTTGTCTGTTTTAGATCTGTCTAGTCTGACTGTGGGTGCTGCTTGTTTGCTGGGTCGGATTAGAGTATCCTCCACCGGAATAGGATACCAAGACAAAACAAATCTAACAAGAGATTATCCGTTAAAAGTTTACAACCAAACATCTTTATGAAAATAGTTAAAACTTTTACAACTAAATAATTTGATGAGAGTAGAACAAACTATTTATTTAACTTCAATTATAGGGGAGTAGGAAGAAATGAAAATGGAGGTAGGGTTCATATATATACATATATATATATATACATGTTTTTTTTTTGCTAAGTGAAGAGATATAAAGGAACATAAAGGGTGAAGACTAGTATCCCATTATATATGCCTAGGTAATATCTCATTATCCATACAAAATAAGTATGTTAAATCATTTGGGATGTGAGACAATTTGATAAGATCATTTAGAGTTAGATAGACCAAATAAGTAATGTAGTAGCACAAGCATTATTCTCCTCATGAACATGAGAGACTTTGGTATTCAAATCTTTTCTCATTAGATTGAAGAACCTCGACTCATCCCCCATGTCATAATACCTGCTGTCAACACGACCCCTTAAATGTGTTTAAGTTGGAAAAAGTTAAGCTCAATAATTTTGGCCTAGATCGGTTAGATTTCAATACATGACTCCACTAATCTTGGCCTAGATCAGGTTATTAATATTCATATTGACTATAAATCTTATAGTTCAATAATCATTACCATCTTTATGGAGTTCGTAACTGAGGCATGATCATCCTAACTTCTAACAAATTAATCTATTTAGATCTTGATCCAGTCCAATAGGAAAACCATCCATCCCATCCTAGGATACCTCTCACGATCCTCATGTTGATCAGTTGGCCAAGTCTATTGCAACTCTTTTGTGCTTCAAAGCTATCTAAATGATATCATAGCTACTAGGGCAATTGGTAGCTAGGTTTACCAACATCGATGAATTCCTTGAGTTTAATCGAAGTAAAAGATATCTTTTTCTTTTCGTTATTTCATTCTATGATGATTTTACAGAAAATCTAGCAAATTGAATGAATAAATCAATTTGCTAAAGGAAAAAAATTATTTGGAAAGATAAATTAATCTCAAAAAAGAAAATTTATTCAAAGAGGGAGAAACTTTCTTCATCTCATATCGTTACCAGTTTTCTTTTTCTACAACTTCACTATTTTCATTATTAAAAAAATTATAGTAGTTAAAAAATAATAATTTAAGATAAAAAATATTTTAATATTTGGTAACATTTACTGCAAAAAAATATCCTGAAAGTAAACTATGATACTGTATTTAGTTATTATGTTATACAACTAGTAATAAATATTGGAAAAATATAAAAATTACATACAATCAAAAAATAATAATATTTGTTATTTAAATAGTATTATACTTTTAAAAATATTTTAATAAGTTAAATTATTTTAAAACATTTACTTTGATTTATGTTATTTAATATAAAAACTAATACTAAATTGTTGTTATTAATTTTTAAATAACAAATATAAATTTATTGATATTATATTTTTACTTTAAAAATATTAAACTCATTACTTATTTTTGGAACTTACGTGATTTGCAAAATATAAATTCAATAATTAACAAAATATTTTTTATTTAAAAGGACTTTTTTTATAAAAAAAAATAGGGATAGGGTTGAGACAGAGAGTATGAACCATTCAAAATTCGACTTTTTGTTATTTTTATATTTTTATCATTATATACACAATCTACTTAGTATCTCATTAAAGAAAAACTTACCTAAATAATCAAATCCTAGTTTTTGAATCTTAATTATTGTTTTTATATATATATAATATCTATCTTGAGATTTTTTCATAACCTTACATTAAAACTTACCCATTTTGCTCATTGAGCACCAATGCTGCTACCATTTTTGGAAATTTTCATATTAGGAAATTTTGGAAGAAACATTAGTAGATACATCCAATATAAATGTACATTCCAAAAAAAAGTTAATGTACATTCCAATAGTTTGATGTCTTTTCAAACTATAAATAAATATATAGACCATTTAGGTACAAACAAAAAAAATCTTTATATTCTGTTCAAAATCTTTTATTTTATCTTCCAAATATGAAGGGAAGGAAGGTGAAGTTTGTTCTCATTTCTAATGAGTCAATAAGAAAAACAACATTCCAAAAAAGGAAGAAGAGATTAATGAAAAAGGCCAGCAAATTAGCAACTTTATGTAGTAGTAACATGTGTACGATTATTTACAGTCCTTACAACACTCAACCTGAAGTTTGACCATCTCCTTCTAGAGCCAAAAGTGTACTCAATGATTTCAAGGCAATGTCAAAAATAGATCAAAGTAAAAAGATGTTGAATCAAGAGGCATTTGTTAAGAAATCTGTGAAAAAACCAAAGAATCAACTCAACAAACTACGTAAGGACAATCATGATAAGGAGATTACACAATTCATGTTCGACAGCTTAAATGGTAAGCCTTTGACAAACCTAACAGCTAAAGATGTGAAAGATCTTGGTTGCAAGATTAAATATTTCTCAAAGGATATTGATAAAATGATTGATAGACTTATTATAATTGATCAAAAATTTGAGAATGCACAAATAAAGACATTAAGTATCAATCTAAATGATGGAGACAACCTTCAGAATTCGTCAAAGAATCATCCATGGCTCATGGATTTTGGACTTGGAAAGATGATTATGCTTATGGAAGATAATGACAACGAGAACATCAAGAACAATAACAACAACATTGATAATGAAGCTACATGAATTTTTTTTTTAAGGGTTTATGTCTCTTATTTAAATTATGATTTAACTCCCATGGCACGGGCCATTTTATCAAAAGAAAAAAGTTTATCTTGTTTTTGTTTGAAAACACTTTATTTTTTTAGCACTTACTTGTTTTGACAGCATAAATAGAAACATAAACTAAGTCAAAATAAGCACAAAGTAGTGACATTTGTAATTTTTTTTTTTGACATTAGTATTCAACAATTTGCAAGATATACATTCAATAATTAAAAGAATATCTTTAATATAGAGGAACTTTTTCAAAAGAAAGATTTAGGGTTAAGGTTGAGGCAGCTAGTATAGAATCATTTCAAATTTGATTCATTGTCATTTTTATATTTTCACTATTTTATATACAATTTACTTAGTATCTCATTAAAAAAAAAATACTTGAATAATTAAATTCTAATTTTGGATTCTTAATTTGTTACACATATAGTATTTATCTTGAGATTTTCTCATAATCGTGCATTAAAAATTTATCCATTTTTCTTATTAAGAACTAAATTCGATACCTTTTTGAAAATTTCACAGTAGGATTTTTTGAAGAAATATTAGTAGATACATCTAACATAGATGTAGATTTAAGAAACATCTTGAAATTATTAATTTGATGTCTTCTCAAAACTATAAATATGTATATAAAGTTTTGGGTTGTTTAGGGACAAACAAACAAAATCTTCCAATTCAATTCAAAGTCTTCTCTTTTGTCTTTCAACTATGAAGGGAAGGAAGGTGAAGCTTGCTCTCATTTTTTGATGAGTCAACTAGGAAAACAACATTCAGGAAGAAGGGATTAATGAAAAAAGCGAGTGAATTGGCCATTTTATGTTGTATTAACCTATGTATGATGATTTACAATTCTTACAATACTCAACTTGAAGTTTGGGCTTCTTTTTCAGGAGTTCAAATGTAAAGGCCCGGAACTTAAAAGATATGAATTTGTATTTTAAATGCGAAAGAAAAAAAAAATATTAGGGTTTACATTTCTTATACAGTAAATTGGAATGCTTAATAGGGCTATTGGAATGTCCCTTTTACAATGGTTCATAAATAGAAGCGAATAAATGATTAAAACAAGTAAATAAATGTCATAAGAGTTAACATCCACTAGCACTTGACAGGATCCGGGAGGTTAATCTACTCACAACCCTCCTACTGATCAGGATTTGTATCTTAGTCTTTTTGATATGAAATGGTTAATAGAAGAGTGAACTATACTAACCTAGTAAGAATATCATGTTAATCATTGAGACAGAAAACTAAAAGTTTGTAAAAATC